CAAGGTAGCCAAAAAAAAACTTATTCAGACTGTTTTGGTTTAATCATCAATTCTCAAACACCAAATTCATAAGTCAACACAGAGTCATAGGAGCAATGACTCCAATTTCTAATCTCATTACATGTCTACAAGGTATAATATTGCAGAGAAACAGATTGTGCTCAGTGGATTGACAAAACCAAACACTCTCAAGAATGCAGGACCATAGAGGTTCTTTTACAATTTTTATTTCCAATCTGGTTATAAATAATTACTTCATGACACGACAATGTGATAGCCCAAGTACACAGGCACATCAGGTACTGCCCCGGAAAAAAAAAAAGTTCTGCATTACTTGAGCCCTTCCCCCTTCTAAGAAAAGGAAAGATAATAGCTTCAACCTTCCAATTGCAGAGTATCAATTATCAAAGCTAATAATCTTAAAATTTATCAAGTAATAGTACACCTTATATCTAAGAACTTGAGATAACTGAACATGCAAATATAAGCACACGTTATATATTTGCTACAATTCTGATACTCTAATCTCCTTGTCCACTTTTCCCATCCCATTCTGATGGGAAACCCCAACGCAAAAGCATTGGATGCTTCGCAACCTTGGGAGCGCATCTGCTCCTAAGTATAAGGCCACAGATATCACCAATGACATGCCAATTCCCATTCAACATTCATAAGCAAAGCAGTGCAACATCTTATCAACTTACAAGTTCAGTTAACTTGTGAAGAGTAGCATCCTTCCATGTATAAATCTGAACCCCGTCTTTCGGCTCCTTGCCTCTCACAGCAAAATCCTCCTTGCTATGATGTTCTCCAACCTGCCAGGAAATTCAGTAATTCACAAATTATAGTTCAATTTTATGTATAGATTCTTATAATTTGCTCCACAAATTAAGCATACGTTGTTAGAAAAACCGAAGCAATAAAGTACATGTCTGCATATTTAACAATAAAAAACATATTAATCACTTCATTATCAAAATAAAACATAGATTAAGTATATATATAAAAAACCTTCGAAAGGTGTAGTACATTTGAGACCCTGGAAAAAGCAAGAAAGGGAGAAAGGAATTTGTACCTTCTCACGATCACTAGGCGGAGGAGGAAAAACTCTAGCAGGAGGAGCTAATGGTCTGCTCCTTGTCTCCTCCGCATTTCAGCCATTCCCGCCATCGGTCGATTTGTTTCTCTCTCTCTTGAAAGTTGAACGAGAACTTCAAGAGAAGAGTTGAGAACTTCAAAGAGGAGAAGTGTTGAGAAGTAACTGGTTGCAATTTTGGGCTTTGGGTTGGGCTGGAAAAGTCTCCGGTTGAGCTAATCTTGTTCGGATTTGGATTGGAACTCATACTTTGTATACTCTGCTTTTTAAAAAAATAATATTTTACTTGTGTTTGATTAATATTTTAAAATAAAAGAAATAAATAAAAATATATTTAATTGAATATATCTTAAAATAATTTTATTTTTTTGTATTTTAGGAATATAAAATGCAACAGAACATATTTTTATTATTTTTTAAATTTCAAGACATTAATCAGATATTATCTTTAAATTTAAATAATTTTCTAAAAAAACAGTAAAATGAATGGAATTAAAGTTTATTAGTTGAATTTTTATTTTGAGCATTAGTAATAACAACTCCTACTATCATGATATTTAAAAGAATAAATTACTTATTACAAAAATAAAAATCAATATTTGAAATAAAAATCTAAACATGAATGAAAATAATGTAATAATGGAGTATCTAACATATTAAATCACAAAAAATAAGAAAAATCTCACAATAGCAAGTAAAACATACTAATAAACAAAATAGAAGGAAATTTCAATCAAAGTTCAACATACTAACAAAAGCTAACAACCTAGAATAATATTAAAACAAAAGAGTGAATTCACCCAATTTGATGAAAGAATAATATTTAACATATATTTTGACTATTTATAAGTACAAGGACTAAAGCATGTATATACGCGTATCCGTACATTAAGCATAATAATATATAGTAACAAAATACATATTAGAAATCAAACAAATTATGACTTTTACACTTGCCATTACTATCAAAAAAATTAACAAATAACATTAACAAAAAAACTAAGGGATAATATTTCGTTGCTACTTTTCAATTGAAATAGCAATGGAGAATTTTCACATAAATTTTTAATGGAATATATTTAGTTGGTAATTTCCAACAGAATTGTTGACGAGCTAAAAAACTAAAAAAATAATTTTTTTCGGCAATTTCATGGGAAAGTTGACACTCATTATTTATAAACAAAACTATTTTGTTGAAAAATATAAATAAGTTATAACCGATAGTTTCCTCCTCTTATTTTTCTTCTTTTTTTACTGTTGCTACTGTTGCCTCCTCTCGCAAAAAAATTCTAGCAACCCTTCTATTTGCTTACAAATCTAGCAACCACAACTTGCTGATGTTGATTTACATCTATGAATAATGTTGGCATCCATTATTGAATTTTTTTGTGAAGCTTCAATACACAAAGCAAGCAAACCCTCTTCTTTTTTAAACCCATTTGTATTTTAGGTGAATTTACTAAAATTATTTTAGTTGAAAACTTGATTTTTTTTATTTTTCAGTTCATGACTTAAAAGAAAAGAGATGGTTGCCATAAAATGATAAAAGAAAGAGAAAGTTATTGGTTTGTCATATTCCAATCATGAAAAGGGTTTATATATATATATATAA